TGCTGGGATTACAGGCATGAACCACCATGCCTGGCTATACTTTTAGATACAGGTCTGAGTTTCAGTGCTGTGGTTGGGCATCTTTGGTAAAAATCAGAAAAAATACAAACATAAGGCTTTTTTTGGGGGAGGGGGTACCAGGGATTGAATTCAGGACTTTGCGCTTGCCAGGCAAGCATCACTGAGCTATCTCCCCGGCTCCTGTAAAGATTATTTTTAATGACTCATGGCCCATGGCTTGCAAATGACATCTGTTGAATCTACAGATGACACCACTAGGGGCTTCGGGTTCAAGGTGAGATGCATGGGTGTGCTCATGCGCACACGCCGTATCTGGAGCGGGGAGCTTTGGGGTGGTAGTGCTGGCCATCTGCGCTACAAAGCTGCTATTGAGAGCAGGCCCAGATGCAGCTCCGCGTGCATGGTGGAAGAGTTTGGCAGCCACAATATTGCTTTTTCAGGCCCATAGTTTGCGGCTCAGTTTTAATTTTAATATTTTCTCTCTAGATTTCGAACAAACTTTTCTTTCTTTGGGGAAAAAAATACTGTCACGCTTAGAAATCTCCCCTTCTTCCCATGGTAGTAGCAGGACCTGTTTCTCGGGTATAACAAGACGTGTGTGAGCGTGACGTTGATGAAGCTGTGGCCCTGCTATGCCTGCTTACCTGGGAGTCTGCCCTTTTACAGTTTCATTTTCAGAGATTCACCTTATCCTGCTGGGTTTCACATGGGGTATTTTATTTGCACATGGGTACTTGGGTCAAATTCCTATGATTGGAAGGGCCAGTAACACCTGGTGAGGTTTCCAAGGTATTTCTTGTCTTCCTCCTGATTGGGAGTGAATCATTCTCAACCTCTAGTCACACCCAAATTGCCTCTAAATACCTGTATCGTTTAGTGCATCTTAGTGCTCCGATGCTTATAGCAAATGGGCGTGTTTAGAATCAATCACATACTAATTTTAATCTCCGCAGATTCCCAGTACATTCAAGAGTAGTGTTTCTTTTAACCACAATGATGGAAAGGCCCATAGATGAGGCTAGATCTGGTGCTGGGGGCCAGTTAGCTGGCTCTTTGCAGACTGTGTAGGGCTCCAGTATTGGAGTGATAGTGGGGGGCAAGTGGAATGGGAATGGAAAGTTGGGAAGGCAGGGAGCAGCCCAGCTCACAGGGAAGTGAAGGGAAAGCCAGCCTGGCATCCAACTAGGAAGTTATAGGCTTTCTCTCTGTTCCCATCAGACACCAGTGGAAAACAATTGTGGCTGCTCTGAACACAGTTGTGGTTGATTTGATTAATCTCACATTGGCAGACTCTTGGGCTGTTGGTGATTCACTCGCTTGTGGTTTTCAGGGCCAAGTCACTTAGTGGTCTTCTGTTGTGAATTCAGTGTCTCTTCCTGAAAATCTGCTGGGAGAAGAGTAGAGATGGTTGATAGGAGACAGTACTTCTCGAGTACCTACTGTGTGCCAGAGCTGTACTAAACCACTGGCTTCAAGCACCTGACCTGTAGTCCTCCCGGCAGCCTTCTCTGTGTCCTGAAAGAAACAGACCCAGAGAACGGTGAAGTCTGGTAAAGTCAGTGCGTGTGTGT